GCACAGGTTGCAAGAGATGTCAAAACTCTAAAACAAAGGCAAGCAACCACTTCCTACGCAGTACGCAAAATTAACTGAATATTTCAAATAACGAACAGCTCAGCTAGTTTTACTAACCCATACAGCATCAAATGTATCCTCATTTAGCAGCTTCAATAATGGTTGAATAAGTTTTGTACCGAGTAATATACCATCTTTCTTTGCATTGGGCAATCCACTCAACCTGATATTCAGAAAGGCAAAGGCACATTTCTTTTTTATCAGACAAATCATCAAAAAGTCAAAAGGCCAGCCTAGACCCTTCTTACAGGCCTCTGCATAAATGTTGCCAGCTATCCAACAGAATTTACATTAAAGGGCAAAATGCTCCAAGGGAGAATCATTGAACTCGCTACAAATTTAAAATTATTGAAAATCTTGCCAAAGTAAGTTGTAAAAATGTCCCAAGGGAGAAACGTTGAACTTGCTACAAATTTAAAATTATTAAAAAGCTTGCCAAAGTAAGTTGCAAGAACATTGACCAGTTTGTATTAGTTATGTTCCTTAGTGTGCACAAATGGAAGCAAACACTTTCCACTTTTCCCAGCCTGAACTTTTACAAAGTAAAATAGCTAATCCTTAGATAGGAACATCTAAAAGACCAGAAATGTCTAAGTTTGCTCAGTCTTGCCGCATTCTTAACTAAATTACACGAGCTCCAACTTTATTAGTTTAGGATTACACTGCAGTAGACATTTTTCTTTCCTAAAGGGGCAAATTTACTGGTGCTCCTGCAATTACATTATGCACCAAATCTTAATATTTCACTCGTTGCAGCAGCTACTTTCAGGGTTTAAACCACATAGACATATCAGTGGGAAGGTGGGCAAGCTACTAAATCCAAATAAATACCGTATCATACAGGAGAAAATCAATACGGTGAGTAGTTTACTTCCGGAAACCATTAGGATCAGAAAGGAAATTTAATGTGCAAATCTAAGTTAAACAGAAAACAATGATTTCATAAAGCATCAATGGTGTAAGCATACGCAAGATTCCATTAACGTACATCAAAACAGTTTTTCCAAGTTATGAGCAACCAATAGCCCTCTCTATTAAACATAGACTCAATGAGTACAAATAAAAAAAATCTGACATCAAAAGTTACCAAACGAACCTTGTGAATAAATCTGACAGGGAGGCACAGGAAGCTACCTTCACAAAGTGGGAATCTGCAGGGGACTAGTCCAAGTACCCACCAAAACAAAAAAGAAAAGAATGCCCATTAATTTTTCACATTGATATAAAGAAACACTTTGGCAAAGATTATAAGAGGTTAGCTGTAGCCAATCTACTGTTTGCTAATCTTCACTAATTAATGAATAGAACAATATAGGATTGATCTGCTCAATACCAAGGCACCAATTTATCAGGCTGAGTAGAACAAATGATTAGAACTTTCAGTGGTTTGAAGTCCAAGTCCCTCTACTCTTTAGTCCGATGATGTCAATTTATCTACACGATCAGTCATCTTGAGGTATAGTTTTTTTCTTTTTTTTGAAATAGGTCATTCCTGCATTCCAGATCATAGTTCTTCTTCTTACAGATATAATAACATCTAAAGGTACTCTTTTGAGAAAATGACAAAAATGGTCACTTATGTTTCGGGGTAGGTTCAAAATGGTCACTGAACAATACACCTGAGCAGTTTTGGTCCTCTAATTTTCCAAAAATAGCTCTTTCGCTCTCAGTCAATTATTTAATAAACTCTGTCATCTAACATGAACTATGAGAAAAAATTTGGTAACCATAATGAGTGGAAAATGTTTGAACTTTAATTAAAACAGGAATGTGACTCCATTTTACATAACTCACCAACCAGAAGAAGATTACATAAAGAATTCTTATCAATAAACCATCAGCTTGAGTACCTGAAGGTGGAGTAAGAGTGTGTTAAACCATGCAACATAAGAAGCTAAGAAACGCTCCCTACTGCATTCTTGACACGTCACCCCGAGCAAACATATACCAGCCCAGCATTTATCTGGCTGCAACACAAACAATCGCAAAAGACCAACTCTTAATCCTTATTCCCAACACACATAAAATCCAACATGACAAAGTTCATAAACTGCAATATGTCTATAGGAACCATGTCAAAACCAGGATAAGGTTTTCATTATCTAGTCAATAAATTCAGCTGACACCCTTGGATGCACAATTTGCTTTTTAGTCCCAGAGAGAATAACATCTTTCTATATTTAGAAACAATGTAACTTTAAACTTCTCATTTTACCCTAAATGAAATAATTTATAACCACATAAATATCTATAGCTTGAGACATTTCAAAAAAAAAAAAATCCTTTCATTCCTTCTTAAATTCTCGTGCTTTCTTAGACTCCATGCTCAGCCAAATGCCGCCAGATAAATTAGGACAGAGGTAGTACTTATCATTATTCAATTCGTAAATTATAAATACAAACTTAGAAGCAACAAATGTATGTAGTTAGGGACAATTCCTATAGTTAACAAAAAAAAACAGTTTTTTAAGATTATTCACCGTGTCGCTGGAGGCAAGAGCGACCACTCGATTGATCCAGGAATCAACGGTGGATGTCCAGTTTTCAATCAACTTTTGATCAGATTCGGGTGGGGCCAATTCGGAGAGTAAGCGGTGAGTCTTTACAGCAGAAACGACGTATGAGAGAACTGAAGGATTCCGAAACTGATGTTTCAGGTCAGGAACGTACTCTTTGAGCAGAGAGCTAAGTAGACGAGGCTTCAATGCGACGTCGTACATGTTCTCAATTGTATCTGAGGCCGCCATTGGAGAGAGGAAAGAGAGAGCGTAGTGAAATTGCAGGTGTACTTTAGGGTTTAAGTGATAAACCCTGAATTTTAACGGGGCAGAAGGATGGTTTATTTTTTAAAAACGGGTCGGACCTTACTATTTGGTATTATTCCTTTTTTTGGTTAAAAATAAATCGTGGCACAGTTGCATACATCAATAAATTAGTGGTATCTGAACTCTGAAGTTTAAGAAGAGGAAGAAGAAGAAAAAAAGATCTATTTTCAAACTCCAAGTTGGTGGTATTTGAAAAATTCGGATATTTTGCCAACCCCTAAATGATTATTCAAAACCTTTATTTTATTTTTGTTGAGATAATCAATTATTAGATTTTGAAAAGAAAGATAATATACCTAGGTCAAAATAAATAAATAAAAAAAATCATGCATGTTGTTTTTTTTTTCCCCCTTTTAAGAACTTTGTTGGAACATGCAACTATATATGTGTCTTCCCGTGCATACGTTGTTATCATTAAATCATAGTTAATGAGTATATATTTCACTTAACATATCATTCAATCGTAAGAAATTAATATGATTTGGTATAAACATTGAATGCGAGTAAATTTTTGCTTACGATACAGTAACTTAATACTATATAGTGATGTAAACCACATAATCTCTTAAGAAATCATCCTATATACTAACACCTTTGAGGGGGAAAACACTAGTGAAAACTTGATTCCAGTTTCTTGATTCACGCAAATTCTAAGTCTATAGTTTTTCATGATGCAACCACTAAAAATGTGTTATTTGTACATCTAGGATGTAATTTAAAGTAGGAATGTAATTTACAGACATGTTTATTTTTTTTTTAATGGAGATCTCGAATGGTTTAAAGGTGATTGCTTTTGATGTTCTATATGACTCATTGAATGAGCATCGACAAAATTACAAGATTTGTCTTTTTCGCAAGATTTATCATTCTAAAATCCCCAGGAAAGCATAAGAACAAGAGGGGCAGAAAGAAATGCATCTTTTATAATTCTGCAAGTTGCGCAAGGATCGAGTTGAAGTCTTACTTAGCTGAAAGTGCTATCCGATGTAACTGTTGAAGCTTGAATAGTTAAAATGTCTTGGGCCATCCTTAAAAGAACCGAAAAGTGTTTTCTTTGTCCTTCCACCATTCCAAAAGATTAGAGGAGCCATCGAGATTCACTTCCTCAATTCTCTATGACAAATAAACTTCAAGCTCATTTAGTTGTGAAAAATCACTACTACTAGAACCTTGAGAACCCCTAAACCCCGCCCAAGCACTAAGTGCTCTTACTCCCGCAATTCTTTTAGATGATTGAGAATCAAAAGAAGGAGTTGGAACATTTGGTCTAGCATGATCTAATCAACTTGATAAGCATTATAAATAGTTTGAACATTTATTCTGATTGAGGCTATTGCTTCCGAAAGTTGAGACAACTACTCATCTTCAAATACTAAACCTTTATAAACAGTTTCATACCAAAATTGAGGACCCCCATCCCATTAAAATATTTAAAAGCTAACTCCTTGCCACAAGTTTTATATGTTTCCGTCCGTTTGGTACGTTGTCTAGAAAAAGTAGGGGCAGTAACAGGAGTATCCGACGAGGCATCATTTGGATTATTACTAGTTAGGTTAACTTCAGGAGCAAGACTAGTGGGTGTATCGTCATCCGGTTGAGTTTCATCAAATCTATTTCCTTCTCATCATTTTCATCAATAGTTGGATTTAGAATAAAGAGCATCCATTAATTCATGGTTTAATTCTTCACTAGCTCCAATATTATGGCAAAATTGACTCTCAGTAAATTGTAATAAACTATTATCGCTATCAAGAATAACATGTGTAGGACGGATATGGGGTTTGTTTCGGGGAGCCGGGGGAAGTGGAGGAGGAACAGAGTGACCACTAGATTCGCCACTCTTGGATTTTTCCTTATTTTTACCAATTTTTTTTAAGGAAGCCATCTTAATTAATCAATAATAGAAAATAAATAAAACAAACAAACTATAATATTAAAACTTAAGAGTTGGAACGAGTTTACCGAATTGACGAACAACTTGTTGAAAATTGATTATCGTTGAAGACTTCAATTCACCAACATCACATTTTTTTCACAAATCGTAGTAATAAAGTAAGCAATAGTAGCAATTATAAAATTAGAGAGAGATTGATGATTTTGTGAAAAAAATGAAAGAATGAGGGGGTATTTATAGTTGAAAATAGAAAATGTGTAATAATAAAAAGTTTGGGGTTAAAACAAAGTTGGGGGATTAAATGGCTATTTTGTAAATAGCCAACGACTATATTTTTTAAGGCCAACGACAAGATTTTTCAAAGCCCAACGGAAAAGTTTTTTTTTTTTTTGAATTTTGACCGTTGGGACCGTTTGGGCCCGCCAAGGACTGGTCCGGTCCCGGGTCTAGCGGTCCTAAAGTGAAGAACCGGCCCAGAAGCCCGGACCAAGCTCACGTACATGGTTCTAACCGGTTCAGGCCCGTTTAGGCCCAGAAGCCCGTTTGGTCCGTGGTCTCGTGCCGGTCCCGGTCCTGGACCTGTCCACTTGCCACCCTTATGTATATGACTCTATTTTAAAATGCCGAACAATGTCAATGCTCTGTTATGGTATCAACGTAAGATCATTTTCGCGACTGAGGGTAATGTCTTCGGAAGTAATAGAGAAGGCCAAACAATCTATACTATATTAAAAGCACGAAGGCCCTTAGCGAAATGTCGTTCGCCTTTTTTACCCTTTTAAAATAGAGTTGACACTAGACAAAATAGTCATTCCATTAATTATTTAGGAGTTTGAAATTAACTAAAATTATGGTTAATAAATCTTTCCTTATTTGATTTATGTAGAAAATCCTACTATGTAGGACTTTAAAGTCCATCATAATTTTACCTTATATATAAACCATTTTCTTATAAGAACTATGTTCATGTTAATATTTTTTTTTTTGATATTTATATTATGTTAGTCGTTCTAACATGAATAAAGAAATGACCATAACGAACAATCATTACCCTGTTGCTTGACTAACCCAAAATTATATAAAAATAAAATACGACAAAGTTCAGTTTTAAGATTCTTTTTCATTCATAGTCATATTATGTGTTGGGTTTGAACAATTCCTACGTGCTGTAGGGAATTGTCATTTAATACTTTTTCAATATTTATTATAATTACTTGTCCGTTTAATTAAAAATATATATCAACTATAGAGTGATAAAATCTTAAATTAATAAAATATTAACTTGTTATGAGTTAGAATATTTAACCAATTTTATGTGATGAATGCGACGATCCAAATAACCCGTACAATATTCGTAAGTGAGTTTAAATCAATGATCATACATGAGACATAAACCAATGATAATATATGAGACATTATAAATAAAAATCACAATTGAAAACTTTCGATTTAGAGTTGTTTATCAATTATCAATTATCAAACAACAATTCTAACATTAAAACCGTAGTACAAGATAGAAATTTACCGCAAGTGACAAGCAAATTTTCTATGAGGACGTACGTTTATGACAAAAAATGTACAAAATAGCTTCTTTCATACTTGCAAAATTCTGATTTCAAAACAAAGAAGAAAGAACCTAATACGGTAAGCAAAGGAGAAATTGAATCCTTTATAAAATTCTAAAAACCTATCCAAAACAAAGAAGAAACGAATGGGAGAAGCCTAATATGGTAAGTAAAGAAGAAATACGTCTTTTTTACCCCTTTTAAAATGAAGTTCAATTCTGGATAAAATAGTCATTGTCATCTTATTATTTTTCTAATATTTTAGGATTTTAAATTAACTAAAATTTTAATAAATTCTGTAAGAACTATCAATATTTAGAACTTTAAATCTTTCCATAGCTAAATATTCTTAACATACTATAGAAGAAGTCAAGAAGGAAGCATATAACTAGGCATTCATGACTTCTTTAGACGTCCTTATTTTCATTAAAAATGATTATTTCAAAGAGAAATTCGTATTCTTTTATTTTCTCATAATATTCAAAAAAGTTAGAATTGGACAACAAAATTGAAATTAAAAAAATAAGTAATAAATAGTCACCGGTATAATAAAGAAAGCTTAATAATTTGAACATCGAAGTTAGCCACCAATCTTCTTACTATCAATATGTATATGCTTTTTAAAAATAAATTACCCATTGAGACAATATACACGTGCAATGCGCGTATCATAATACTAGTATATAAAAAAATTTAATAACATAAAGAGGAAAAAGATGGGAGAGTTTGACTATAAATTACAAACTCATACTTATTTGATAAATTAGAGGCAGCATATATCTTCCAGACATGTTTTGATTCTAAAAAGGTTTTCACTGGATGTATTTGAAGCATAATTCTAATATGGGCATGCCTACATAGCTTGGTCCTAGGCCATAGTTCGCCACATACAATTATGTGGTGAGTGACCCTCCCATGCTAGGCTGGTGCATCTCGCCCATGTTGGGAGGGCCATAGGTGGTCCTCCCTGCTACCACACGTTGGATCTAGGGTTATGATGTCAACCTTGGACCAAACAGTGTAGCCATGCCTTCTGTACGCATTATCAATAACTTCATAAGTAGTTGTACTATACACAAAGAATTAAACTTTCTAGAGCACATACGTAATTTAAAACATTATAAAAATTAATTTCAAGTTTTAATAGAAGAAAATTTATAATTGTAGTTTGTTTAGTAAATTTCGTTTCTTTTTTACATTATAACGCTTGAATTGACGAAGACTTCCGTTCAAACTTTCAACAAAAGGATATTTGATAGCCTTCCCTTGAAGGAAGTCTAAGCCTTTAAGAGCTTGAGCACGATATTATAGAAAGGTAATTATAGGAAGAGTGTACCGATAATAACGATAACGACAGTTGTTATAGGTAAAATGTGGTTATAAAGAAGTAAAGTTTAGCATAACTTCGATTAAAAAAGCATATCTGCTATAATGAATCTGTTATAGAAAGGCATGACCGTAGAATCGAGAAAGTGTACAAAATAAATCGTCTCACTGTTGCACAACGTTTGTCAATCATATATGTATCTTCTCTTTTTCTTTTGAAGTTAAAATCACTATGTTTTCAGAAAGAAAAAGCCTTCATTTCAAGTTAGTGATTTAAACATACGTGTTATGTATTTATTGGATTGGTGTAAACACATATGCATAAGTATTTACCGCTCACCATTTAACCTTCTCCACTTAAATACTAAGTTTTTGTCTGTAGCAGGATTTGATCCCGCGACATACACCACATCACAAATTGCAGTCCTACCACCATATCAAAGCCTGGGGTGGGGGNGTATACAGAAATGTTTATTTTCATAGAGATCCCAATTTGAACTCAGTTATTAAAGTTGATTGCTACTGATTTTCTAAAAGACTCGATCAATAAGTATCGATGAAACTAAAACATTGCTGGTTCTTTACAAGATAGGACATTCTAAACCTCCAGGAAATCATGAGAACAAGAGGGCCATTAGAAATGCATTTTTTCTGATTCTGCAAGTTGCGCAAGAATCGCAAAATGGTATAATTTAGAATGCCTGACAACGTCAATGCTCTATAAGAAAATTATAATATTAATATCAAACCATTTTTGCGACTGAAGGCAACGTCTTGAGAAGTGATGGAGAAGGCCGTCGCACAGTGTGATTGAGCAGGATCATGAATGTTAAAAGAGTCAAAGCTCCTGCTTGATGAGCAGTTCCCAGAGAAACTGGGACATACGAAAGAAGAGTAGATATGCCCAACGTTACCTGCATTTGAAATCAAAATGATTCAACCACAACTTACAGTAGTCTAATGGTACCAGACCAGTGAGAGTCTTCCACACAATTGGCGTGCGTTCAATCTCACTATCATTTCCCCTTTTATGTAACAGATTTTTTTTTTTAAAAAAAAAATCCAAGAAATAGCCAACAGGGAATATTCTCGACGATGCAGTGCTAATACCTGCAGAGCAGCCATGCCCATTGTGCTTCCGATTAAGTGTCGGACAGCAGGATGCATATCCAGTTTCCTGGTTGACCACCATAACCCACCTATTGCAGCTAAAGTAGCAGTGGCAAGTATACGATGATCAAGCTGCAAAAGACAAGAATGAAATTCGTCATAAAGAGTGTGTGTCTAGAAGTTTTCGCATTCACAAAAAATGCTTAAACTGGCATTCAATCATAGTTTTTCGCCTGTTGCTTTTTATTTTTATTTTGATAAGACAATGTTCTGCTATTGTGGCAAGTGCATATAACAAGTCTGGCTCAATGTCCAGAAACTTAAACTTTGTCAAAGCTTTATCATAAGAGAGAGAGAGAGAGAGAGAGAGAGAGAGAGAGAGAGAGAGAGATGACATACCTATTAAGTAGTAAAACAAATCAAATTCACCAATTATTTTTGGTTCTGTATTTAAATTAGAAGGCTAGTCAAATGCAAAAATTTAACAATGAAAATCCCAAACACATTGACTCCTGCCCTTCTGCATACGCCAAAGCAATTACTTAAAGAAACATACAGCACCTTGACTCAGTCTCTTCTGATAAAAATTAGGCCAGGAAATAAACTTTGTTAAATTTCTGAATTGACCATCAGTATCCTCTATTTCAAAATTAGTACACTTGAGGAATAGCCTTTTATGTCTTATTTATTTTTGGTGTGTCCATGAGGTCCCTGTAGGTCTAGAAGATTGGCTGTCGTTTGTAGAAAACCATATCATATAGTAAGTTTTTTTTTTTTAATTTTTGGTATACTTCTTGTATACGGGTGTTTTTTCTTTGGTCCATTGTTTATAAGATCTCATTACTCGATCAAACAAAATTAGCAAGAAGAATCAACAATTCAGGCTTGAAGAAAGGACCTCAGAATATCCAACTGTCAACAGCAACAAAAGTTTTAATTCAAATAAATTTTTATGAACAGCAACATAAAAAATGACCTCCATGACTACACTCTTTTCTACCAGCTCTTCTTTATCGTGCTAACTAAGGAGATAGATTTCATGTCAAGATTAAAATATCTGATCTTTTAAAAGTAGATAAACTGGAAAGTTCAGAAACACAAGTTTACCTGAACTGTTGCCGTATTCTCGAAGAAGTTGCGCATAATAGGTTTCATACTAAAGATATCATCAGGAATCCATGTATCTCCCATCTTTGGAAAAGTATTAAATGCTCGGCCCTGGAAGTTAACTCGTTCAGCCAATATTTTGATGATGAATTCCCTTTTACCAAACTTATTAAGAGAATAATATGAACACCATAAACTACTATCATTTTCTTAGTCTCTCGGAATTCAGCAACAAACCATCAAATACTTAACCCGTGCAAGCACAAAACTAAGGTATGGAGAACTTTAGCTACATACAGCGTCATTTCCAGCAACGAAAGCTCCTGAGATAGCAGTAATTCCGACAAGGATGCCCACAGGAAGTGCAAGCCGCTTAACTTTTGCAGCCCCACGAACATAGGCAAGCGATTCGGTAGGAGGTTCAGGCATAACAACAGAAAGAGCCGTCCAGAAGAGTCCACAATAAATAGCAAATGCAGAGGTAAGATGAGCTGCAAGACGGTAAGGGCTTACTCTTGGTTCAACATACCCAGATGGTGGCTCCTGTTGAGAAAAAATAATTTAATCAAAAATTAAAGAGCGCTGTGTGTCTTATGTGAGTTTAACAACAGCATAAATGAAATCAATTTGCTTAGTACCTCTAAACCACTTTTCACCATCCACCAACCTATGAGCCCCTGTCCAGCACCAAGAGCAAAGAGTCCAGAAAGTCTAAGTCCAAGTCTAACTGTTATGTATCCCTTACGGAGAAAATATGAGAATGGAAGTGCAAACATTATACCAAGGGCCCTTCCCCACATTCGGTGCGCATATTCCATCCAATATATGAACTTGAAATCCTCAATGTTCATCCCCTTATTCACACTGTAAGGGTTAAAATTTAAGTCAAATCACTAGGCAACCCAATACAAAAATAACTCCAGAAATAAGATTCAATAATAATCTTCATAATAAAGAATCGATATGGAATGATCCTCCGGTCCATATTTGCTTTCCACTGCTAACAACGAAATTAAGTTCATGAAAGCAAACAAAAACTACTTTTCCTAGTGTTTTAGCATCTATGTGTCTAAGATTACAGTAATTGAAGTACATTCAGCACATACTGCTGTTTGGACTAACCGTTTGTATTCGGGGGATTGCTTGTACTTCTCAAATTCAACCAACCAATCTTCATCTGTTAGAGGAGGAAGGCTCCCAGTGAACTTCCAATCTGTCATTGAAAGACCAGAACGTGTCAGCCGTGTGACCCCACCAAGCACAACCATACTGAAGACCCAAGCAGCAGATGCAAAAAGCCATATGCCAACCATTTTCCGAGCATGGGGTCCAGCAGTTACAAGGAACTTCAATCCCTCCTTGCTTTCAGCTGCCGAAGCTGCCACTGTGGAAATTTTTCTGAAAGATGTTCTATGCAAACCCTGAAATCAATTTGGCTGTCACGATGAAAATATATGGACAGAAAACAGGATGCAACGGGAAAGACATCTGCCCTAGCACTTCTAAATTTCTTTCTTGCATATTTCTTCACCTATCAACATGATAAATGGTAAATCGATTCTTTACTATTTGTCAATATGATAAATGGTACCGTTTCAACTCCATGGGAGTTGTAGGAAGAGATTAAGAAGATCAGGAAGGGATTACAACAGCAAAAATTAGAGTTTCTCTCTGTTTTGGAGAGGGCAACACAATAGCAGATAACAACAACAACAACAACAACAACAAACCCAGTTTGATCCCAACATGTGGGGTCTGGGGAGGGTAGTCTGTACGCAGACCTTACCCCTACCTAATGCAGAGAGCAACACAATAGAAGATGCTTTGGCAAAATGCGGAGGACGATTACAGTGGTCATGTGATTAGAGAACTGTTTTTTAAAGTGCGGGATATGCTCAGGGAAGCAAGGGTTGCTTCAGAAATGGACAGAGCACAACTTCTTACTTTCAGAATCAGACATGCTAAAGGAACTTCATCAACATGTCACAGTGTATAGTTTTCTGGATAGGTTTTATGTTGTAATTGATCTTTTTTGTTACATGCATTGGACAGGGGTGTAATAATCTCCTTATTTTTCTGATCTTACGTAGTAGAACGAGGACATGTACAAAGGAGGAGTCCTCATTTATCTTAGATTTGTACTATATCTTCACAAGCACGTAGATAGCAATAATTGTAAGAGGTGAGTCAGTTTTATGTCCCCCTTCTCATGTATTCACTAAATAATCAACACATCTAAACTACTCCGCAAAATCTATCACACAAATTACGAAGATTGCATAAATGTAAACCATTTCGCAAATTACGAATTACAAATATCAAAGAACTAAGACTGCTTTATATATACATAATTTTCATAAAATCCATTAAAAAAACAGGTTCAATGAACAAAAAAGGTGACATAATCTACCAATGCTTCTATATAACTATCGTATACTTCTGAACTACAGGGGAAAACACAACAACAACTATGCCTCAATCAAAAACAAGTTGGGTCCGCCTATATGAATACTCACTTCTTCATTTAAGCTCAACTACAGGGGAAATCACAACTATGAACAAAAAGAAGACAACTTTCTCAAAAATAAAAGCACAAAAAACCAACCTTGTGATTAAGGTGCTGAAAAGATCTTAAACCATAATTAGCAAAACTTCTCGCAATAGAGCTTCTGCTTGTAGGAGCAAATTTTGGGACAGTAGAAATGAACCTTTGTTGATTCAATATTGAAAAAGAAGCTTCATTTGAAATTTTTGTTGCAGTAAAACCCCATCTTCCAAGATTCGATGAAATCTTGTGACCCAAATCTTTGTTTTTCCTTAAGATTGAAATTAATCTGCTCTCCAACATTGCTTTTTTGGGTTTCGATTTTCTCTATCAAAATTGCTATGAATTGTGTGCTGTGTGTGTGTGTTGGTGGAATCTTGGGGTTTTTGCACTCTGGATTGTCCACGTTTGTTAAATCTTAGACAAGGGTTTAAGGATGAACCGGCCGGTTCACTCAAAACCTTGGGCTAAGAATAGCGTGGATATTGGTACAGCCATAAGATTTAACAGTACAACAACAACAACAACAACAACGATGCAGTGTAATTATACAAGTGGGGTCTGGGTAGGGTAATATGTACGCAGACCTTACCTCTACCCCGAGGGGTAGAGAGGCTGTTTCCAGGAGAC